GATCCTCCCTGTTTACCCGATCCTCCCTGTTTACCCGATCCTTCCTGTTTACCCTCTTTACCCGATCCTCCCTGTTTACCTGATCCTCCCTGTTTACCTGATCCTCCCCGTTTACCCGATCCTCCCCATTTACCTGATCCTCCCTGTTTACCTGATCCTCCCTGTTTACCTGATCCTCCCTGTTTACCCGATTCTCCCTATTTACCCTGTTTACCCGATCCTCCCTGTTTACCCGATCCTCCCTGTTTACCCGATCCTCCCTCTTTACCCTGTTCACCCGATCCTCCCTGTTCACCCGACCCTCCCTCTTTACCCGACCCTCCCTCTTTACCCGATCCTCCCTGTTTACCCGATCCTCCCTGTTTACCCGACCCTTCGTCTTTACCCGATCCTCCCTGTTTACCCGATCCACCCTCTTTACCTGATCCTCCCTGTTTACCCTGTTTATCCGATCCTCCCTGTTTACCCTGTTTTCCCGATCCTCCCTGTTTTCCCGATCCTCCCTGTTTACCCGATCCTCCCTGTTTATCCTGTTTACCCGATCCTCCCTGTTTACCCGATCCTCCCTGTTTGCCTTAAGGGAGCAGTACTGGGAAACCTAGCCATTCCACTCCGTTTTGCCTTTCACTCAGATCATTGGCTGATCTTTCCTGTCTGTCAATGACAAAGTGCCGAATCACAGGCCTCAATTATATTCAGATAATCCATGGACATGGACATAAAACTGATTGCTGTCTCTCTCTCTGCATACTTCGAGATATTATTCATTCTGCCAGCACATTGGAATTATCACCTATCCAAACCGTTCATTGTGAATCAGCGACTGGGGGCTGAGAGAACTCCGCACAAGCCTTTATTTACTCTGGAAAGTACTTGACACTGATCCAGCTCTCTCAGAGCCAGCTCTCAGAGCGAACAGAACCTGTTCTTATCTGTCAGCCAGGGCTCCCTGACTGGGGCTGTTAACCTGGTCCAATCAGGGAACTCCGATTCTATCAGGCCCGTCTGGCTAACCTCGTTCCAGTCACTCCAGGGGCCACTCGCCTGCACTGAGTTACACCAAGGGTACTTTTTGTTTTCTATATGTTCACTTGTTTGTTTCAGACTCCTCAGGCTGGCTGGGGTCGAATGAGGGGAATACTGAATCGCCTGAAGGATACATCCAGGACAAGAAGGACTTTTGTGACCAGGTTTAAAGGCTCTAGGGAACAGAAGCACCGGTAAGAAATGAGGAAATCAGACAGTACAGCTCTAGAGAATTTCCATTGCTTGACAGACAGGTAACTGCCAAAGCTCTCAGAGTGAATCTAGGCAGCGTCCAATCCCATAGTCAGGAGCTGCTGGACCAAAAGGAAGAATTTTCAAACGCTTCCGTGAGGGAGCTGAAGATGATAATAATTTGCAGAAAGGGAATGAAGCTCCAGGCTGGAGTGTGGAACAGTGCTCAGAAACAGTGTCAATGATCCACTCTGAGTTGGCAGTAGAGTGAACAGTCCCAGTTGTGGGAAGCTGAGCCACAGAAACAGCAGTTTCTCTCCTGATTCTCCAGCAGCAGAGGTACATCTCATTGTACTCCATCTGCTGCTCTGTAGCCTGTTGACCCGATTGACTAAGACCCCTCTTAGATACACTTTCTCACTGTCCATTACACCACCAATTCTGGTGTCATCCATGATCTTACTAATCATATTTGGCCTTACTCAGGAGTCCTTACAACAACTGATTTGGGTTCCATGGTGACCCGATGTGAGACTTTGATTTTACAGTTTTGTTTTTAATTGAGTTGAAGTTCCATGAACTGCCTGAGTGAAATTCGAACCTATGTCCTCAAAGCTGCAGAGAGGAACAAGGAAGGGCGTGTGTGGTGGACAACGCTCTCAGTTCTGATAAAATGAGCCAGTACAGAAGGAGGCCTTTCAGCCATTGTGTCTGTTATGGCTCTTATTGAAATCACTGACCTTCCCAACCCTTGTCCCATTCAATACCACACGTCTCTCATTTTCACTGTCCTGTGGCAAGGCTTTGGAGCTGTAACTATTGTGGGGAACACACTGCTCCTTGCTGATTGCCATGTACAGGACCAGGGCTGCTTTATCAGTGAGCATTTAACCTCTCTCCTTTTGAAATTGATGGATGTTGTGAATATGGGCCTCAGCAATCTCAGTTTCGGTTCCTAAGCTGCATTCAGTCGACAGAGACCCTGAGGTTCAGGATAGGAATACCAAGCTGAGTCCTGATTCACTGTTCACTATCTGTATTACTGACTTGGAGGAGGGGCAGAGTGTAATGTATCCAAATGGGCTGATGATACCAAAATAGGTGGCAGGGAGTATTGTGATGAAGACATGAGAAGTCTGCAAGGAGACATGGAGAGGTTGACTGAGAGATCAAAAACTTGACAGATGGAGTTTAATGTAGGAAAGAATGAAGTCATGCATTTTGATGGGAAGAATCAAAAGGGAGATATTATTTAAGTGGAGAGAAACTCCAACAATGTGCAGTGCAGAGGAATCTGGTGTTTTTGTGCATGAAACACAAAATGTTAGGCAGATACAGAAAGTAATGTAAAAGGGAAATGGAATATTGGCCTTTTATTGCTCAGGGATTGGAGTTTAAAAACAGAAAAGTTTTGATACAAGTGTCTGGGGAGCTGGTGAGACCACACCTGGAGTACTGTGTACAGTTTCAGTCCTTGTATTTCAGGAAAGATGTACCAGCTTTGGAGGCTGTTTGAAAGGTGAAAGAATGAAATTGAAAGCTGGTGAGCAGGAGTTGACTTATGGAGAATGGCTAAACAGGTTAGACCTTCCATCATTAAAGTTTATAAAAATGAGAACTGATCCCACTGAAACAGAAACAATGTTGAGCAGCTGTTTCCACTATTGGTGTTCAAGGGACATGGTAGATACTCAGTTGAAAATGTCATAGCAGTGAATGTTTAGAATGCTCTTGCCCCAGAAAGTGACATCTCTCCCATCTTTATCTCTCCATGTGGAAAAATAGACAGAAACACCAAGAAATTTAAAAGAAGAATTTCTACCAGAAAAGACCAAAGTCCACCGATCAGCTATGGAAGTGAAGGACTGACATCATTTCACAGACAATAGCGTGTTTCATCATTGCTGAAATGCGAGATAATTTAACCCACTCTTGTGATCTGGACTTTTCACCATCGGAATTTTGTTCGCACTCTTTATTTTTACCAGCCATAATAGCTGTGTCAAACTGTCTGTATTTTTTCATGAATGTTGGTGTGTGTATGTTTGTGTATTTGGGATTTTTGTACAGTGTTGTTTTAGTCACATAGTCGTAGATTAGTAATCATTTTCTCTCTCATTTATTGAAGTTGTATGTGTTCACAATAAATAGGTATCTTCTGTGAAAGGTGAAAACTGGTGTGAATTGTATTATTCCAAGTGACAGTCAGTCAGGCAGATTGGTCATCTGTGTGGTTTAATTGGGTATTCACACATTTAAAGGCTGCTGGTTAACACAATGGTAGTGACTCTACCTTTGAGCCAGAGGGCCTAGGTTCAAGTCCCACCTGCTCCAGAGGATGCGTAATAACATCTTTGAACAAGCTGATGAGAAAATATCAATTGTGTCATTTGGGGCATGTTTGTGCAATAGTGGGGTTGATGGGGGTGGATTGATGAATATCCCAGTCTGCTTCAAACATCAAAGAGTTTATTGTTTTATACAAGTGGGGAGAGAGACACTGGCCAGTCCAGAGAATTTTCCACCACACAAGGGGAAAAAATTCAGTTTAAATGAACATACTCAGCCAAATTTGGCTGAATCACTCATTCTGAGGGGCTTAACGTTATTAGAATTAGGTTTTATTGTCACATGTTCTCAAGTACAGAAGTACATGAATACAGTGATAAGTGTACAATGTCACCATTCCCAGTGCCATCTTTGGTACAAAGGTACAGTAGTACAAAATCTTAGGTACCCAGTAGAAAAACAATAAAATAAAACAAAAACTTAAACATCACAGTCCTTCTTAGTATTACAGGAAAAATAAAGAAATAAAGTTAAAAGTTCAACAGTCTTCCTTAAGTGCTTAGCCATGCCGAGCTTGCACTCCCTAGAAGGGCTCGCTCTCCTCCACTTTGGCCCACTCTCCGGGAGACCTTGGGCTGCCTGCTCTCGCTGCCACCGGAGATGCCAGGTTCTCCCTCACTGCTGTGTGGGGCTCACTCTTCCTGCATTTAGCTCACTCTCCGATCGTCAAAGTCCTCACCCAGGCCCCCAGGTCTGACTATGAGGAAGCCGTGCTGCCAATGCCTCCCTGACCAAACTCTCTCCAGAAGCTAGGTAAGTAGGAAAAAATCTAAAAAACTTAAAAAAAAAGAAAAATGAGAAAAGAAGCAAAAGGAAAAAAAAGAAAAGCAGATGGAGTGGAAGAGCCTACACCATCACTGCCATCTTTTGAACATTTGACCAGTGCATGGTCAGACACTTCCCTTCGATTCCACGATGAATACTGGACTTTGAACCTGTTTAGTACAGAGACCTCTGTCAATGTTACTCCAGGCTATACCTCATCTGACTCGACACAAGCAGCTACATCTGCTTCTGTTACACAGGGCCCAAAGTATACATTTCACAAGACCCCCTGTGCGTTATCTTAATCTAATCACATAGAAAATCAGTGCAGGAATAGGCCATTCAGCACTTCGATCCTGCACTACCATTCAATATGATCACGGCTGATTATACAATCTCAGTATCCCACTCTTGCTTTCTCTCCTTATCCCTTGATCCCTTTAGCCATAAGGGCCACATCCAGCTCCCTCTAGAATATATCTAATGAACTGGCCCGAACAGCTTCCTGTGGGAGAGATTTCCACAGCTTCACAACTCTCTGAGTGAAGAAATTATTCCTCATCTCGGTCCTGAATGGCTTACCCTTTATTCTTAGATTGTGACCCCTAGTTCTGGATTTCCCCAACATCAGGAACATTCATCCTGCATCGAGCCTGTCCAGTCCCATCAGGATTTTATATGTTTCTATGAGATTCCCCCCTCATTCTACAAATTCTTGTGAGCACAAGCCCATTCGATCCAGTCTTTCTTTTGTCACCTTGGATATACTCCTTTTATGAAGATTGCTCATTACTTGACGTTATAATTCAGCTTTAAACAGCAGACTATGGGAGCTGTTTCTTCAGACAACAATCTTGCTCAACTGTTTTATGTCGACTGAGAACCACTTTCAGCCATTGTATCATGCTTCAGCAATGCTTCTAACAGGGCCATGATCGTTGGTTCATTCCTCCCAGGTACGTTGTGAAAAATCCCAGCAAGGAAAGCATGAGGTGACGATTAAAAGACTTGATTGAGTTGGGAGAGGGAAACTAGATTTTACTCAGCGGGTTGATGTTATTCAGGGATATGGGACAAAGGCAGATTAACTGTCAGTGAATTGAATGCTCGAAGAAGGAGATGATCCTGTCCAGGAGCCTCTGATTGGGTATCAATGAGATGAAAGGTGACGAGTGTTGGTGTGTGCGTGTGTATGTGAGGGTGTGTGTATGTGAGTGTGTATGTGTGTGTATGTGAGAGTGTGTGTGTATGAGTGTGTGTGTGTCTATGTGTATGTGAGTGTGTGTTTATGTGAGTATGTGTGTGTGTGTGCATGTGTTTATGTGAGTATGTGTGTACGTGAGTGTGTGTGTATGTATGAGTGTGTGCGTATGTATGTGAGTATGTGTATGTGTATGTGAGAGTGCCTGTGTGTGTTTATGTATGTATGTATGAGTGTGTGTGTATGTATGCGAGAGTGCATGTGTGTGTTTATGTGAGTATGTATATATGCGAGTGTACTTGTATGTGAGAGTGAGAGTGTGTGTATATATGCGAGTGTACTTGTATGTGAGAGTGTGTGTGTGTGTGTATGTGAGTGTACATGTATGTGAGAGTGAGTGTGTGTGTGTGAGTGAGTGTGTGTGTATGTGAGTGTGTGTGTGTGTATGTGAGAGTGTGAGTGTGTGAGAGAGGGAAACTGTGCAGCAGGAATCCCAGAGAAAGCAGCAATGTGAACCTTGCTATCAGCTGGTACCTGAGACCCACAGGTCCACTAAGATGTTGGGAGGTGGTTCTCCTCCTCTGAAATGGACCCAGGCCACTCATTTCAAGGGCCAGTCAGGAATAGGCAAAACAGAACCTCAGAACTGTTCTGGTGCAGGAGGAGGCCATTCAGCCCATTGTGCCTGCACTGATTCTATTACCTAGTGCCAATTTCCTGCCTTTACCCATATCCCTGCAAACCATTTCTATCCAAATTATCTTCTTGAATGTCTGAACAAATGCTCGCCTTTGCAGTGACAACCACAGCCCGTGCAGGAAGAAGTTAAAAAAACCCATCAATGTATCTGCAGTCTTTGCTTCCGACCTCTGAGTCTCTTTGCGGTTTCTGCAGAGTGGCCTGCAGTAGCTGTAGGCACCACCAGAGGGAGGTGCAGGTGGTGCTGGTACACTCCGGGACGGAGGAGGCGTGGTGTTCGGCTTGGCGCAGCGCACTCTCCTCGGGCTTGGAGGAATCCTCCAGCGGGAGCGGGCAGCGCGTCAGGCGGCGGCGGTGGATCGGTTTCGGGAGGTGAGAGGCCGGCTCCAGGACTCGGGCCCTCTGGAGGGGGTTGGGGTTCTGGGGGGATAAGGGGACGATAAGGGGGAACCAGGCCCGGGCGGATTCACCGGGGCGGGGGGAAATAAAGCTCAGGTCCTCCCTCGGGGAAAGGGCGCGAGAAGTGGGGCCTAGAGCCCGAGGCCCCGCCTGCGGCCTCCCGCCCGAGCCCACGGCGGGGCGAGCGGCCGGACCCACGGCCTTTCCCGAACGGGGACACGATCCTTTCTCCTGTTTCCCCCTGCACTGTTCCCGTGCTCTCTCTGTGTCTCTGACACACACACACTCCGGGCCTCCAGGATGTGGAGTAGTAATAGGATGTAGGATTAGTGAAAATAACAAAGGAAGCAGGGACTGACCGGGATCCCTTCCGCCCACCACCATCCTCCCCCCAAACCCCACACTTTGCCCGAGCAGATCAAATAACAACGGGTAAGTAAGGATCAAGGGGTCTGTAAAGACCGCGAGTAAGTAAAGGTAAAGGCACATGTTTGCAGGGGTCAGGGTCTGAAAAGTATGCAGTTTGCAAGATCATTGCAATATTCATGGCAAGTCATGATCTTCACATGGATTAGACTAATCCAGTTGACCTGGGTATGAGTTCTTCGAGTGCATTCAGAACAGTTTCTCTGTAAATGTGTTGTGAGGGAGGATGGATTAATGATCTCTTGGTAAATGATTCTCTGGGCAAGAGTGATCATAACACAGTTTTACATGCAGTTTGAGAACAAAGAATGCGTGGATCTGAAAGCGCAGTCTTTAAATCTAAATGAAGGTATTTAGACAGGTGTGAAGAAAGAGATGGAAGAGGAACGAGAAAATAGGTTAAAGGGTGAAGTGGTAGGGAGGCAGTGACAAATATTTCAAGAGCTATTTCAAAACTCTGAATGAAGATATAGCCCATGTAGAAAGAAACGTTTTGAAAAGGATAGCTATATGAGGTGGCTTTGGGTGATACCAAATTGAAAAATATGATGTACCATGTGGAGAAAAAGTCAGAAGATTGGGTAAATTACAGACAGCATGAAGGATGATTAAGAAAATAGAGGGAGAGTTTACATGATAAGACAAAACAAATGATATAAACAAAGGTTAGTTAGAAACTTACAAGTATATAACAGCAATTAAAATAGGTTCCTAGATGGTGACACTGGGACATTAATGATTGGAAAGAAGGAAATGATCGAGATTTTTGAATAATTCTTTCATAGTCAAAGACATAACATTCTAGAGAATCGTACATAGTCAAAAGGCAAAAAGGGGCAAGAAATTAAAATAATTGTGAACAATAGAGAGTGAGTACTAGGAGAACCTAGCTGACAAGTCCCAGGATTTGATGGCCCGCAAATTAGGGTCTGAAAGGAAGTTGGTGCATTGGCTGTAATCTTCCTAAAATTCTGAGATTCTGGTAAGGTTCCAGCAGATTGGAAGCCCCCAAATGCAACTCTTGTGTTCAGGGAAGGAGTGAAATGGAAAGCTCAGCGTCTGTCATTAGGAAAATGCTAGGATCTTTTAAGCATGAGGTAGTGGTACAGTGTATGGAAAAATCACAGTACAATTTGGCAGTGTCAATGTGGTTTTGTGAGAAGGTTTTGTGTGTTGGAGTATATAAGAAGTGATGGGGTGGCTCAATGAGTCCCAATAGATGTCTTTATCACATTTCAAAATGGTACTCAATAAGGGGCCACGTATGAGGTTGATAGATAAGGTGAGAGCTTGTGTTGTATGCAGTATATTAATACGGATAGTGGACTGGT